TCTCTTCCCTCTAGTACCTGCCCTCTGAGATAATCTTCAATTTACTCTGTATACATCTTGTATGTACATGGTTTTTAAAGTGTTGTTTTCTTCATTAGAATGTGAACTTCCTGAGGGAAGGTATAGTATGTTTGCCTTTAGATGCTGCTGATGCATTCCCCTCAAAATAATCTAGTACCTATTGTGTATATCTCTGTATATGGACAAGGGACTGGAAGCTTCTTGAGGGTAGTGACTGTTTTTAATTTTCTCTTTGTATGTCCAGTGCCCAACACAGTTCCTGGCATGGTAAGCACTTAAAAATATATTAGGGGAGAGAAGGAGAACTGGAATAGTTCCTCCTGCCTTGACTCCCTGTTCTTCTGCCATTTCAGCCTTTTGATAGCAGAGATGGTTGTAGCAGAGGGTTGTGAGTGCTAAGGGACTAAAGGAAGGGAAGGTAGGAGTAGAGCTCCTATGAAGAAATTGGTAGAGAAAGAGAAGTAAAAAGAAGGGAGAAAAATAGCAGTGGCATATAAGGGATGCAGTGCTTGCTTGCTGGAAAGAAGATTGGATTTGGAGTCAGGGATTTTGAATTCTGACTCTGTCTCTAACTGTGTGACCTTGGCAAAAATCACTTAACCTCATTGGGCCTTAGTTTTCCTCATGCGTAAAGTGAGGAAGTTGAACTAAATGACCTCTAAGGACCCTCCCAGCCTTAAATCTTATGAATCTTTAAAAAAAATATGAAGGACATTTTAGAGCCACTGCCATTTCTTCAGAAAGCAGGGACTAAGGACAGGAATTAAATTCTTCCCAAGAAGAATTGTAGAACTGCTTTCCTCATCTTAAGTCCTGCTGCACCCCACCCGCCCCGTACCCCAGCCAATGTGATAAGTTTTGAAATTTCATTGATTTTTAGTTCAGCCTTCTTACTCATGTTTGGCAACATGGCATAGTAGAGTGCTGGCCATAAGGCCACCAAGACCTGGGTTCATGGGCTGCCTCAGATGCAGACTGGTTGTAGGACCCTGAGTATGTCACTTACCTTCTCAGTGCCTCAGGCAACTCTCTACACTTTGGTAGTGGAAGTTCCTCTCTCCATAGCTTCCAAAACAATGGAATTTTAGATCTAGTTCTACTCCTATCCTGCATACTCAATTAGAAATGGAGCTAGCTCAGGGTATGTTCCAGATAAGGACACAGACTTGAAGGTTGGTCTGAAGGTGGTACTTGTTTTGTTCCCCTGGCTCTATTTCTTTGTGGAGAATCTTGTTTTGGGTTAGAAACTTGCATTCTGGGCACACGTTTGGTACCCAGATGGTGCCTACACATTCAAAAGCCCAGCACACTGACAGGACCTACAACTACATGGATAAATATTTTGCTTTCTATTCTGGGTAATATTTGAGTTTTTCTAATTTAATTGCTGTCAAAGGCAGAATGATTGCAGTTCTAAGCCAAGTAAATAATGAGGACCCTCCAATGTTGCTGCTATCACTGCTTCAGGAAATGCTCACTGGCTGCCTACCAGGAATGCATTTTGATTGGTCCCATTCTTGGGTTGAGTCTCAGGTGGTCTTTTCTGATCTGTACTGAACTTTTCCTAGCCAAGTGAGCTGACTATAGCCAACTCATAACTTGCACCAAAATTTGAGTTGTTTCTCTTAGGCTGATATTGTTTCATTATCTATGGAACCTTTTAGTAGTTTCCCTTGACCATATCTATTTTCACTGTTGCCTTGTTGGAGACCATGATTACTGCAGGTTTTTTTTTAGACTGAGCTGAGACATGATAAATTCTTCTGTAAGCCCTCATTTTAACTCTGTATGCATTTTTATCTTTTAAGTGTGTTTTTGTATATGGCAAATCTGCATTTACCTTCTAAAATTTTCTGTCACCCTCCTCCTTTTCATAGGTGAGTTTACTCCATTCATATTCATGATTAGGATAGTTAACTTTGTTTTTCCCTTTTTCAAATCCTGTATGATTTTTTTCTTTTTTACTTAAAAAAGAAAAGAAATTAGTGGTTGATATCTCCAGTTTATACTGCTTAGAACAACAATCTAATGCAATCTCCTCTCTATTCCTGTTTCTTTCAGCCTACCCAGGTCCAAATCACTGGGTCTTCCTCCTTTTAAGATTTCTTTTGTAATCAGCCTTCTGTAATGGTGATTTGTTTTGAGTCAATTCTCTCCCCAACTTTTCTTCACCACTCAGACACCTGCCTCAGATACAGACTGGTTGTAGGACCCTGAGTCCCCTCACTATCTCAGTCTAATCTCCTGCTTACTTTATTATATTTCTACTACTATAATATTTTTTTCAGTCTTCTCTCACTTGACCCAGAAAGGGTGATGTTCATAGCATTGCCCACTCTTTCTCTCCCTTTCATCAGGGTAATTCCACTTCGAACATTCCAATAACCCTTAAATAAGGTTAGAATCCAAAGGGACAATAAGCTTTGATTAAAGACATCTCATGTGCTCTTCATTTTATTTTTGTTTTGACTTCCCACCAATGTTTCTTGTATTGAATTTTTGAGTTCTATATCCATTTTCCCCCTTGCTCTGCTAAGGTTTTCTAGCCTTCTAGTCTAAGACTTTGATTCTCCCTTTGAGTTCTAATTTAACATCTTACGTCTTCCTTCAATTGTTTTATTAGGCCTTCTGACCATTCTTGAGGTGTTTGTAGCCATTTAATTCTCTTTTCTGTTGTTCTAGTTATGCTTTTTACAGAATCTTTTTTTTTTTCATCTGGAGATTTCTCTCAGTTTTCTCTTACTCTATAGTAGCTCTTCATTGCATTAGGAACCATTCTTTGTTCACTTCTTTAGGTTCTCTGTTTTTTGATATTTTCCCATAATTTTCCTTGGAGGGCTTTATTTCCTCCCTTCTCTTCTAGTTGTTGTTCTTCTAGTTTATTTTATATATTTCTAGATGTTTCCAGGTTCTCTTCCCCTCCCCTTGGGCCTTTGAGAGGCTCCCATGAAAATAGATATGGTGGTCTTCAGGATTAAAATGATGCTGAAGATAATGGAGTTAGAATAATCTAGACTTGAACATATCAAATATTATTATTGTACAGGGGAAGAACTCTGGACTAACAATTCAGATGATTGAAGGGATCTTAGAGGTCAACTTGTATAATACTACCTTGACTACCATTTTCCTCAGAGCTAGATGGAGATAGCCTAGGACCCTGAACCCAAGAGTCTTGACAAAGCAGTGTTCCCCAAAGCACCAGACCCTATTCAGTCATCATCCGGGGAAGCAACTCCTGTGGTAAAGAGGCCAGCCGTGCCCATCAGCTATCAACCAACTGCTACTCAGAGGGCAGGCAAGCTAGGCTAGTTGAAGCAGCAGGGCACCCTGTTGGGAAGACAGGAGTCAATTTACTCCAAGCACATCAAATCACCACCTTGACCACCATTTCCTCTTAAGATTCTAATGGAGACATACTAGTACCCTTTATCCCAAAGCCTTTGGAATAGCAGTGTTTCTAGACCAGGGTCTGAAGGCATCATTCTGAGAAGCTATCATTTCTCCTACCATGACTGCCTGTTCTGCCATTTCAGACCTGCTATGGAGGTATTATAGTTTTTGTCTTGTTTTGTTTTTCCTCTCTGTAGGAATGCAGTGCACCAGAAGGGATTTCTAGCTAGTCATCTGATTTATAATTAAGATAAATTACTCAAATATATTACATATAATCAGATAAGTCAGATTTCATACCAATTGTGGTCTTTTAAACTACATAGGAAACATTTCAAGAACTTTGTCGTTTAGTAACTGTGTGACTATTGGGCAGATCATTTCATTTCTGTGAGCCTCAGTTTTCTCATCTTTAAAATGGAATCAGTAATAATGATCCTACTTACCTCACAGGGTTATTATGAGGAAGAAACTCTTTGCAAACTGTGATTCTATATATAAGTGAACTTTTATGATTAATACTATTATTACTGAACAGCATCAGTTACCCAGTGGGTAACATTTGGTCCTTGACTGGCTAGTGGATGTTTGTCCAGTGATGATTTACAATGAGGTATCAGTTCTATGAGACATTGCTTAAATGACTGAATATCACCAGTTTCCAAGTTCCAACCCATTGCAAGTAAAGCAGGGGTCATCATGATTCAATCAGATACCAAGAGTGATAAATTGAAAATAAGTGGGCTGCACTGTAGATTACTATCAGAATCCATTCAGGTACAAAATTGAACATTGAAACCCCCTCACCTTTAAAAATGTTACCTTTCCTTCTTCAAGATGTCCTATCATTGAATTTTTAAGACCCCACAGATAAGGTATCAATGGAAATACCTGAAAGACATTGGAGGAAACAAAGATAAGAATGCATTACCCTTTACTTCCCACTAGAACTTTGTCAAATGTTTTTCTGAAGAGTTTGTGAAGGAAAAGATGGTTGCACATACTGGAATTCTTGTTACTGTTCTTTTAAAGTAAGACTTATAAAAGTGTAATTAGTGAGTTAGAAAAAAGTCCAAATTCTAGAATATTTTAGAAGTTTTGTTACTTGGGGTTATGCAACTGCTGACTGATGGAGTGTCAGTAGAGGTCTAGGTGAGTCTGCTTTAATAAATAAGTCAGAATGATTTATAATTAGCACATCATTTTATGTAAATAATTGCTTTCCAACCATTTAAAAACAATTGATTTTAAAAATAAACAGTACTTCCTCCCACCCCTAGTCACTCATACTATTTACTTATAAATGTTTTTTCATAAATGGTGCAAAACCAAACTCATTCCTAATGATGAATTATTGGCATTTGGGTTAATGAGGTTGTGTTCTGGTTCTACTCTGAAGTTTTCTATTTCTTGTCCTGCTTGCTCCTATAGAGATAAAGCTGCTGTCTTCTTCTGTAGCTTGGTAAATCTTATTAGTTCCTATTTGGAAATGAGATCTTGGTCCTGTGGTAATAAAACTGATGATCATAGTCTTCCACTGTGGCTGCTGGGCTATTAACATTTGGGTTCTCACTTCTCTCTGTCAGGAGAAATCGAGCGATGCATCTATATCAAGTACCACTATTCCTCAGCAACCATCCCCAGGAACCTCACCTACAACTTCACCAAGACCATCCGCCAGGATGAGTGGCATGCCCTGCGTGAGTACAACCTCTTTCTTCTCTTTAGTGCAGTGATAATGAGGTGACACCAACAGGGGTCTATAATGGAGCTCAGAGGTACAGATTCTTACCAGCAGCTAGATCTGAGTTGATGGATTTGTTCTCATGGGTGAATCCTCAAAATACCAGAAGGACCAGAATTGAAGAATGCTTATTCAAAGGACCAATCACATTTTTCTATTAATTGATGCTTGTCCTTCTACGTGCCAAGGTCTTTCCATTGCTTTGTCTACTTGGGTCCGGATGTCTTGCGGATTTGAGGGAGTTGCTTTTCAAAAGAAATGTGAATGTTTTAGATAATTTATTCTATTAACCAACTTTGTTGATCTGGGTGAATCCTACCTCGGTCACTTTACTCTAGCATTTCTCTGAGTTACTTAGGAAGTTATTGTGGCAATGCTTTGGTTTCCAAATTGATAAATATGAAGACTAAGATTGATTGGATAGGTCTTATGCAGGTGCCTGTATCTTGATAGGATCACCACAGTGGAGGATCTAGTCTTCAATTTGCAGATCCAGAGACTGGATTTCAGCAGTTCCCTTGGAGGAAGGTAATTAGGCTCTGGAGTATTGACTCACAAGAATAACATTCAGACAAGAGTGGTTAGTAAGGCAAAAATATTCATTTATTCAGTTACCCTGGAGATAAATGTTGCTTGTTGTTCAGTCATTTCAGTTGTTTCTGACTCTTCATGACCTTGTTTGCTTAGCAAAGATACTGGAGTGCTGTGCTTTTCCTGCTCATTTTATAAATGAGGAAACTGAGTCAAATAGGGTTGAATGACTTGTCTAGGGCCATATAGCTAGTAAGTGTTTGAGGCTAGATTTGAACTCAGGAACAGTCTTCTTGTCTCCAGGCCCAAAGCTCTATTCACTGTGCCAGCTCTCTGTTCTCTCCCCAACCCTGACCCCCACTCCAAATACCTGCTCCTTAAACACTGTTCATGTTCACTGTCCAAACCACCTTCTTCTTGGCACCAGGGAAGACTATCCAATTATCAGATTACTTGGTAACATGGAATTGAGGCAAAAGGAGAGTTTGATACCCTTAAGAGAGATTTTAATCAGCCTGTGGTAGTGGCATGGTTAGACCTCTATTCTCCTCTATCTTGGTATTCCTGACATATTGAAACCAATTTTCCTCTCTGATAGTGAGGGTACTTTTCCCCCAGTCAATTACTGGAAACACACTAACAAATTCTTACCTCTACACCACATCTCAGTTTTCTATTTGCTCTAAGTCCACACCCCTCCTCCAGCCACTTTTATTTCCTTGTGTCATTGGATAACCATTCCAACACATTTTCACAAAACATTGAAATGTTCGCATTTACAATTCAGTTTGCATTTCACATAACCAGAGGGCTCCATAATATCTTATTAACTTTAAAACAGATCATTGTTTCCTGGCCTGACTCCCACGGCAGTTAGTTAGTCAACGGGCTTTTATTAAGCGCTTATTGTGTGCCAGGCACTGTGCTAAGTGCTGGGGATACAAACAGAAACAAAAAGATAGTCCTGGCCCTCAGGCAGTTTAAATTCTAATGGAGGAAGACTACACAGAAAAGGAAATTGAAAAGGATATCCACAAGGCTGACAGGGCAAGGTAGAGAAAGTCCAGAGTGTGGGCATGGAAAGAAATGAGACATAGCTGGCCTGGGTACCCTTCTTAAATAGAGCTTCTGGAGGGAGCCATCCAATCAAAGAGAGTGGTCAAAGGGCAGAGAGTACTTCCAAAAAGTGAATTCCAGGGCTACAGAGAAGCTTCAGGATAAAGAGCTGGGGCATGGTAGAGGAAATTCAGAGTGCAGCTGGAGAGAAGGGAGAATCCTTGTCCTGTTGTCTGTCTAATCACCTCTTAATGGATTTCATTCCCTTTTCTTTTCCCCAACTAAGCTCTTTCTCACTTTTTGATTTTTGGCCCTCTGTCCATGAACCATACTTAAAGGGGGGTGGGAGGGAGGACAACCCAAAAGATGCTATATTTGGCACCAAGAGGCAAGATTAAATTAATTATCCATTGGTCTCAGAAAATCCTGCAACTGGATCTTCCCTTTGAATATCTGGTGATCCACATAATACAATATTTGATAGACTACTTATTCTAGGTCTTGTGGGATATATCCAAGGGGCAGTACTCTTGAGCCATTTTTACAGTCTTTACTATTGATACAGTGGCTTTCCAGATATAATAGTAATGTGACGGGTTCTTGGTGACTACAATCTTCTCAGAATTACCTGTCTTTTCTTTCAGATTCTATTTAATCCTTGGCTCAGCTCTTCTCACTCCCTGAAACTCGTATATTAAAAGTAGAATAGTTAAATTAGGGAAAATATGGTAATATTAAGCAGCAGCACATAAAAGTGGCCTGAACTTCAGCAGACACAACCTCTTCCTTGGGTCATGGCTTTCCTTAAGTCTCCATATTGCTTCTGTGTTATGGGAATGATGATGATAATGATGATGATAACTAGCATTTATATAGACCTTACCATGTGCCAGGCACTGTGCTAAGTGCTTTAGAATTATTTTCTTATTTGATCCTCATAACAACCCTGGGAGGTAAGTGCTATTACTATCCTCACTTTATAGATAAGGAAACTAAGGCAAACAGAAGTTAAGTGACTTGCCCAGGGTCACGCAGCTAGTAAGTGTCTGAGGTCATATTCGAACTCAGGTCTTCCTGACACCGGGGCCAAGTCTCTATCCACTGCACCACAACCATCTCTTCACAAACCAGCTGCTATCTCAGTGTAGTGGGATTAGAGAGGACTAGATCATCTGCTCATGATTTAGTCACTCAGATAACCTGGGGTAGGCTTTGGATTACTCTGCTTACAACACAGATGGTCAGGGGACCCTCCACTTGCCCACACACTAACTCCTTGTCCTATGTTGGATGCTCTGTTTCATTCTGGCTGTTGCAGTACCTCAAAGATACAGGATAGATGACTACCTTTGTTCCCTACTTCTGGGGAAGGGATCACAACTTGGGCATCCATGGCCACAGACATATATTAGTCTGTATATCTTCCCCTCTATTAATTATTTCCTATTTACCTTGTATATAGCTTGCTTTGTATATATTTGTTTGCATATTGTTTCACCCATTAGCCTGTTATCTCCTTGAGGGCAGGCACTATCTTTTTTGGCCTCTTTTTGTAACTCTAGTTCTTAGCATAGTGCCTGGCACATAGTAGGCACTTGATAAATGTTTAATGATTGATTGATTCTTAGTGTTATTTATTTATTTATTTTTACTAATCCTACTCTCACATGCTGTGTATTTAGAGTCCAAGTTTCCTTGGGCACTAAACACCCAAAGAAGAAAAGGCGAATGAGGTACCATAACAGCTTTCTTTGCTCATAGAATAGGGGGAGGTGTAGAGTAAGCTCCTTTTTTAAGCTAATTTTTAAGGAAAAGAAATGCATCTTTATGGTGGTTACAGTTATACCAAGAAATACCTAAGATTGGCACTTTGGCATCCTCTTATGGCCCAATAGGGCCAATAGGGGGCCTTACTGAGCAGAGTTTTAAATCTGTGATTAGCCTCAGGAATGTTTATAGACAGATACAAAATTCTTGTTTGGGGAGAAATTGTCTATAAAAATTCAGTGGAGTTAAATTGTTGTCTATTAACTACAGTGCAGTGGGGTTTGGTGGAAGGATTTAAGACCTGGAAAAGAATGTTCAAAGGGCAGCTGTGGGTAGAGTACTGGGCTTAGAATCAGGGAGACTTATCTTCATGAGTTCAAATCTGGCCTTAGACACTTACTAGCTGTGTCACCCTGGGCAAGTCACTTAACCCTGTTTGCCTCAGTTCCTTATCTGTAAAATGAGTCGGAGAAGGAAATGGCAAACCACTCCAGTGTCTTTGCCAGGAAAACCCCTCCAAAATGGGGTCACAAAGAGTCGGACACAACCGAAATGACTGAACAACAACAAAAATGATTATGATACCTAGTAGGCTCTCTTGACTAACTAATTTTAGGACTCTGAGTACATGTTTTGAAAACAAAAATCAGAACTGGTAAAAAAAATACTTTTTTTTTCAGTTTTTGATGTGTAAATTGATTTATCTGAAAAGCCTCATAAAATATAAAAATTAAATCCCATTTAGTTGTACATTGAAGATGTCACCTTTCCTGAAACAAATGAAATTGTGGGCTTTCTGCTAGAAATGTCTCAGGCAATCAATCATTTTCCCTGCTGTGCTGCCTGCTCCTCCCCCATGACAAATGGAGCACATGCATATATATGGCACATATAAGTTATAGACGTGCATATTAGGAGCCAGTCTGCATGTGTTTTCGTGTGTAATCACCATTTCTCCAGCCTGTGATTACCTACCATTTGTAGCTCTCAATCTTTGATGATGTGTAGATTTTGTTGTTGTTGTTGTACTTGCCGACATGATTCATTCAGTTACTATTTACTGAAATATTGGTATTTCTGGGCTATGCTAATAGTACTAAGGGTCATTAGAATGGCATTTTCAACTCTAACTGGTTCAGAAAATCCATGCCATCAGATCATCATAGTTCTGAGTATGGGGCGAGGTAGGAGGATGGAAATCTGAGAGAGAAGTCATTTGCTTGCCTGCCCATGACTTGGAGGAATGCAGCATGGAACAATGGCTTGAAGGTCTGGGAATACTTCCCAGTTAGAGGGAGAAAGAATTATTTCTGTGCTTAGTAAGCTCACAGACATACTTCAAAGCAAACCAAGTAGAACTGTTTTAGCTGTTCAGACTGTAGATACTGGGGATAATAATTCAATTATATTACCACCTTATAGAATCAGTGGAAAGGTTTTAGGTGACATCAGGAAGGAAGAGGTGGCAGAGATGTTAGAACTAAGAGTTAGCATACCTTCTGTAAGTGTTCCCAAGCCTGGACGATACAATTAGATTCTGTGTTGATTTTGAAAATTAAATCCTATATCCAAGCTTGAGGTGTAGCCTGTGTTCAGAATTGA